ATACACTTACATGTATGCAATGTCAGTGTCTGTTTCACAATACAATGATCACTATATGTTTCTTAACTTTCTTTATGCAAATTTCATATAAATTTTCTCTGGTGCGAATGCCTTACTAGACCTTTCCAAGGTGATATTGTAAGTCTGTCTCAGAACCATTACATAATTGGACCCCCAAAACATGGCCATCAGCCCATGTTCTACTAAAATTAAAACCTAAACCAGGGAAGTGTTTCACAAAGACTAAGATCGACTTTAAGTTGGACTTAACTATGGCAGGCCATTCATGCCACTGGTTTCTCTCAAAAATATGAGCTTTAGATAATATTTTTTTTTCCAATAATGAATTATCAAAAAATATAAATTCTGTAGATTTGCAACCATGATTAGTAAGTCCCTTGAGAGACCAATGCCAGTAATCAGTGAGAGCAAACAGTGGCATGAATGGCCTGCCACAGTTAGGTCCAACTTAAAGTCGATATTAGTCTTTGTGAAACACCCCCTGGGCTTATGCTTTTGTTCAAAATCTGCCATAATTTGTTTTCTCCATTTGGTCTGGACACACAGTACAACAAGTCTTCACACACATCTCATACAATTTTTCCTTGATACGAATGCCATGCTAGAAATTTCAATTGCAGCCTCAGCTAGCTTGTAAGTAAAAAAATCTGTCTTCAACCATGCATGGCCTCTCAAAGTAAAATAAAGAACAGGTTTTGTTACAAAGGTGTGCAGAAAAAATTTGACCTTCTATGGTAATAGCAGCAGGAAATGAGACATTGTTGTTGAAGTTTGAAACAGAGAGCAAACTATAACAGCACTTTGTATATTAAACAATAAGGAACACACTAGGGTTTTGTAACATAATACAGAGATGAGACTATTTATAGATCCATAATACTGGTATGCTCCTTAACATTCAGTTATGAAACAATGCGGGATCGAACATTATATCATCTGTTGAGAGAGCCAGAAAGACATAACGTAACTGACATATACCGGTATAGGCCTATAGATATATATAAAAAAAACAGAGTTGGCATCTGTCTACCTTCTTGCTCTCAAGTCTATATCGGTAAAACAGATATTAAGTGTCTAGACACATGTATGCTTCAGTTCCTATTGGATTTTTTGTTGCGCAAGTTCCTCATATTACCTTAAAGGTACTATGTCCCATTTGCAGGCCAAAAAATGAAAAAGTTAAATTTCAACTGCATTTGAAAGATAATACTAATTTAGAACTTCCCTAAAAAGGTGGGGCTTGAAAATGTCTTCAAGTGGGAAAATAACGACTATTAGTTGTCAAATCGACTTTAGGGCTATAGAGCCCAAAAGTAATAGTCTTGATTTTCAGACAATTGTACCAAATGGTCATACGTTTTATGCTGCGCAAAGATTCAATCAGTTTAATCTTGGCCATCACAAGAAGTGGGTTATTGATGTAGACAAATGCTCATGTACCCTTTACAACTCTTTTCATGTATGCTATTACCAAAGAAGAAAAAAAGTCAGTCAGTCACTCAATAGTGTCTGACAGTGAAGTCTAGCAAGTAAACGTGTTTCCTTGCATAATTTGAATATGAGGACACTGTTAACGTTTAAATTTCACAGATAGGACATACATGACATATTCATAATTCCTGCAAAGTTCTACAGAATTTGAGGTTGGCTGCAAAAGGGACATAGTACCTTTAACTGACTAACTTGCTCAAACTATATGTACATGTATATCTTAAAAAGGCTTGTTCTGTTTTGTAATCTCATTTCCTTCCTTCATCTCATTTGATTTGTTCCCATTTTAGCTACACATGTACTGTACATACAAGTTTTATGGTGTTCTTATTCATTGTGATATCGTTAAACTAAATGGTACATTACATTATATCATTGACTTTCAAACACATTTCTGGTCAAGAAAGGTGAAAGAATCCATCTGGATAAAAAGGATTAGTCCGTTTGTCACTTAAAATAGGGACTCTGGCTATTTATTGTCACCTATCTTTGCTCCAGTGATCTCAATCGAAGCAGCAGAAAGCAAGATACTGTCCGAATTATCACTTGGCTTGAGAAAGTCCACAAAAGTTGATCAAGGCTTGCGTACTCAATTTTAAGGTTTGTAGAAGCTTAAACTACACAAAGTATGTGTTATGATTAACCCAACTATTGAACTTTTCTGGTAAATGACGTAACAGGTTCTATGACACGAGCTCCAGTGGCTATTGCTATGAGGTAAATTTCCTACACTTACCAAACTCCTACATGTAGCTCCATTCCTGGATCTTACGCAACACCTAATCTTAAAGCAGGACTGCACTATTATCTACTTGCGCCCTCTATATAGCCAACAATGCCTAAGCGGTACCCATTGGTTCCCCCATGATCCCCTTTTTCTTATGTTAATTGAGAGCTGATTTGATGAGATAACCACCTTTCAGTGACCATGCAGGGAGGTCTAATCCCTCCTGGCCAAACTAGTGCAGAAAGGTCTTAGGTTAAGACCCTGAGTAACTTCCCTATTATTCCACAACAGAATGGGGAGAGAATGAGAAAGCTCACAAACTGTTTCTTTTTTCTTTTTTAAACCAGACCACAACCTTCCCTTTAAGACTATCTTCAAGGAGGCCTGCTCCTAAAGGAACAGCTAATACAACACCACACCCCATCCTGTGTTCATGACTCATGCCTCACTTCAACATTAAAGGTAACACTGGGTTTTGGTGATGACCACAACAAAAAGAAAATATTGGCAAATCCAAAGAATTTATACAAAATGTTAATTCCTCATAGCTACAAATATGTGATACATACAGTATGTACAAAGCTCTGCAAAATATAGTTGATAAAGAAATCATAATTGTCAACTAATAACTGCATACAAAGACATAAAGTGGTTGGACTGAAGTATGTAGTCCCTTATGTACTAATCCATGCTGTTGATATCTGGACAATTAATACAAAGTACACATACTGTATGCATTCTTTAAAAACATTATAACATTTTGGTAGTACAGATTACTCAATCAATGGCATTTAATTAAAAATTTTAAATTACTTTTTTTCATTTCTACATTTATAGATAAGAACTGTCCTTTCATGCAGGCTTCCTAGAAGTTAAGTTTCACTTAACGCGTGGGCCACTAGGCAGACGTTCCGGCAGCCTTTCCTTTTCAAGTATTACCCTTCCTTTTAAGGATTTGGCAGAGTCAGAGCCAAGTGATTTCAGGAATTGAAGACATGGCAAATCAGGTAGCTATAAATAGACTGCTCAATGAGGCTGCCAACTGGCACATATAAGTCATAACTACTGAGATTCATTCCGTACATTAAGGGGATCACCTTTAGTTCAAATGCTCATGTTGATCTGTGCGGCACTTCTCCTAAAATATTTTCCATGGAATGTACATTCAAACCTGTCTACAGTGACCACCCAAGGGAAATACAAAAAGTGGTCTTTGTAGACAGGTTCCTTTAGTACATGTTTCAATGAGAAACCATTTTCAAGGGAAACAAAAAATGTGCTTGCTGTAGACAGGTGGTCTTTGTAGACAGGTGGTCACTAAAACAGGTTTGACTGTACTACACCTGTACCTACATGTAATCACTATTTGAAAGGATTATCAAATTGGCAATTCAACTGTATGATGTCATCAAGTGGGCTTATTACATGTACTTGTCTAATGCAAACACTTCCCCATTGGTCCCAATTGTTTGCACCTGGTGTAATTGGATGTGCTAAAACTGACATAGCATGAGTCTAGACAGTGCGAAGAGTAACACCTGGTGGTAGTGGTGGGGGGGGGGGGGGGGAGGTGCAACAGTCTTACTCAGCTTATTAAATGCAATGAGGCCTTAAGAAAAGAGAGAATGTGGGGGGGGGGGTGGTCATATCATATTTTTTCTCAGGTTACCTTCCTCCTCTAACTTCCTTCCTTTTCGTCTCCTTTCTTTTCCCCATGTCAACTTTTGCCATTTTATATAGGCCATGTGTAAATGAGTATCATAAAGAATTAAATTACAGGGGCTTCTTGGAGGGCTCCAGACAGAGAGGCTGTCTTTCTTCCTCTCTTTCTGGACCTCTAGAAAGAACAGCGCCATTATAGTTGATGACACTGAATAGAGCAACCCAGCTGTATTCTTTTTAAATACAACTATTAGTTCATGTTCATGTATTTTATATGGAAATTAAAAACAAACTAAACCAAACTATTTCCTCTGCTGAGAACCAGAAGGGAGTCAACCCTGTGTAAAAATATGTGAGTTAATGCCCTTCTGGCTCTCAACGGACAACTTTAAGTTCTTGTAATGCAGCTCTGATGCCAAAATCATCCACATCCCCTGTGTATATTTTTAGTCCTAAAGGTTTAGACCTGCTTTGTAATTATGGTTACCATACATTGTACATCTGGAGCCAATAAAGTAGCGATAGATACATCTCGCAAGTTTTGCTCGCTCATACTTGTCAACTTCATGAAGCCTGAAAATCCATGTAGTTCCTTCTCATACATCCATACGTGGGAGCAAACTACTAGGAGCTTCATGAATTGCCCTTTGAGGGATTGCATGTGCATTGGTCACAACTGGTTGTACGACACTGTCTCCTAGTCCATTCCCTTCACTAGCTGAATTCATAACGTAATCCTTGGACCCAATACTATCCCTATCTCTAACCTTAACCCTAAATCTAATTGCATCCCTAAGTTCCTAACCCTTACCATGAACCCAAACCCTAACCCTAATCCTAAACCCAAACCCAATTGCAACCCTAACCTTAACCCTAAACCAAAACCTAAACCCAATTGCAACCCTAACCCTAAACCTATACCTCTGATGAAATAAAGCCTGGAACAATTGTCGCAGGAGCACATTTAAATTTGCACTGTACATTCACAACACAAGACCTGCCTAGTAGTATGTGATACACCAGATGGTGGACTGTACTTTTCCTGGAAGAAGAAGAAATATCTGCTATGATTTTTTTATAAACTTGCACCTTCCCTTACCATGGGGTTATCCATGTAGCACAGAATGCAGTCGTCTTCCAGCGAAATGACGAAGTACCTCCGGAAGAAACGGCCGCTCTCCTCATCCTGCTCAAAGTTCATGAAACCGCATATCCTACCCTGGACGTCAAGGTACGGCATGGTGCCGTCTACAGGCGGTGGATGGATGACAGATGCATGGGAGGAAGGTAATAAAGAATTGAGAGATAGAATTAAATATAACGGAGAGGAAGAGAGAGAGAGAGAGAGAGAATGAAGTGTAAAGGAAAAGGTAGAGAGAGACAGAGAGAGAGGGAGAATAAAGGAAAGAGAATAGAAGGAGAAAGATTGAGGGAAACAAGGGACAGAAAGAAAGGGAAAGAAAGAAAGAGATAAAGGGATAACTGAAAAGGAGAGGAAATGAGAAAGTGAAAGGGTGGGTGAAAAAGAGAGAGGGGCAGACAGATAGACAGAGAGAAAGAATGAATAAACAAAGAAAGACAACAGAGAAGAGAATGAAATTCAATTGTATAGAGAAATAAGAAAGGGAGGACAATTTAAAAGAAAGCAAAAGGCAGAGAGAGAAGCAGAAATACAAATCATTTAATGATCATATAACGGACATCATTCAACTCTAATACTATCTATACTGAAACTGATCATACATACATGTATCATATTTACCACTGGGTTTGAAAAATAACAACTCTGAAATCTATATCATCCATCATATTTCTACATACTTCCGTCTGCCACTATAAAACATGGGTAATAAAGCAAGGCAATAAAAACTATAACTAAGGCAGAGAATATTGAAGGCAAAATTGTACTCTCACTTCTTTTAAATTTAACCTCAAAAGAGTTGCACCCAATAAATAATATTTAGTATGGAAAAGAAAGCCTTGGCCTTAGTTAAGTCAGTACCTACACTGAAAGGCAACAAACCTGGCGTAGCTGTATGAGGGGTGAGATTCTACCCCCCCCCCCCCTCAAAATGAAAACAAAAGTGCAAGAAAAAAGGTAGAAGGGAAGGCAATTAATTTACAATATTAACACTAATTTACTTTTCTCTCCTTCATAATAATTATAAATTACATGCACGATGTACATATACATGTACATTAGACTTCGGATATTACTTCAAAGTTCACAATTACAAAGATATCATTACAAGCTCACATACAAATATGAATACTAGCTATGATAACGATCTATGGAGCTGGAGATCATGACTAGAATCTATGTCTATGACTCCCATGAGCGAGTTTTGCCATAGACGTTGGTTTACACACATTGACAATTGACATGTGATAGCGGTGTTCACGGTACGGTCGGCCGTCGGTCCACGGCCAGGTCAAGTCTACAACACAGCTCGCAGTAACAAGAATCATGATTTTGTTTTACTTAACTTGTAATATCATTTCATCAAGGTAAAGAAAACAATGATGATTACCTGATTCAGTAGCAAACTCTCTGTATAAAGCTCCCGGGGTCAAGCAATTTATGCAGATAGATGATCGAAATTCAGGTATTTCTTAACGAGGAAACTGCAAGTCGTCGAGTCTCTTTCAATCGCCGGATTGTCGGATACTTCCGGGTTCGTTTGTTATGAGGGCATGCACACAAAGCAATGCATTGCCCATGCAATACTGCGCGACAGTTGTAAACACGAAACATGTGCGTTGCCTGTGCATCAAAGCTCTCCGTTCCAAAAGCCTCAAACTATTTTTCATTGATGAAAAAAATCGGAATAAAGAGAGATAAATACATGATTAGATGACATAGAATTAGGGAAGAAAGAGCCCCGTATAAAAGGAGATATCAAAATGGATAAAGATTGAAGGAGAATTCTTTTCTCTATTTTTTTTCTCTTCAGTTGGCAATAGATGTCTGCACCCCACCCCCAAATGGATGTATAAGGATAACTACCGGTGATGATAATAATAATAAAGATAAAGATTAAAAATTGAGATATATCTAAGTTTAGAAGAAAAAGGGAAGTGATATCATCATTTCCGAAAAACGCGTGACAAGATGTGTACAAAAAGTGTGTTTCTTTTTAAATGAGATTAATTTTTAAGGGTAGAATTATAGCCTATAGACTTCTACATACCTACGTTACAGAAAGATGAGGTATGGGAGTTTGGATCAAGCTAATCTTCTTATTCCGTGCTTGAACAAGCCCTCTATATGGGGGGGGGGGGGTCCTATCGTATTCAGTATTGTTCCTAAACCTCCCCCTCCCCCTTGCCGCCCTCACTCTTTTCGCCACACCCCCCCCCCCCCCTGTATATGCTAAATAATCGCCATCCACATCATATGAGATTGTACAAAAAGATATTTACTTTGCCGACGGAAATGTTAATAGGGGTGTATGACGCTCCCACAAGTTCCCCTCAACCATTCTAGGCTCATAAGAGGCTTTTTTTTAATGCGGGGGGGGGGGGGGTAGGGTGTCACTCACTGAAAACGTGTCAGTGGGCAGAACTGTCTTGTGTCAAACGTGAGGGAGCTAGACGGCATCCAAAATTATTTGACAAAATGACCCCCCCCCCCCAAGAAAATGCCCCCCATCCATCGCCGCTGGTGATTCCCTCCTCCTGCGACACCCCTGTCAAGAGGGCGGATGCAGAGTTCTCCAGCCGTCATGGGTGCACATCATTTCTTGAAAGAAAAAAACCTGAAACAAAACCACAAACAAACAACAGAAAACCCTAAACAGCCCATGGTTCATCTTCCATTACCATCCCCCCCCCTCCCTTTTTTTTTTTTACAGGTGGTTGTGCCCTCAAGTGGTGAATCTAGGAGGACCCCTCCCCTTTCCAAAAAACAGGTCAATTTAACCTTTAACAAAAATATTTTTTAAAAAGACGGGCCCCCTCCCCCTGGCTCAAGGGGTGGGGTTGTTGAGTAAAATAAAATAAAATTGTGCTCCTTACCACCCCTCCCCCCCCCCCCCCCCCCCCACCCACCCCGTTTATTCGCCGGCTGGCTGGTACGCCGCTAAATAATTTCTCACGAATTGGGCCCCGCTATTTGTTGTTTCGAGTGTCGTCGTCTCTCCGCTCTCATTTTCCGTTTATGTAGTTTTGGAATAGCGCCATCTATTGAGAGGAAGTTCAAAACGTCTATATTTGGGATCATACCACGGAACTGTAAATGAAATTAAAATTCTGACTTACACTGTTTAAATATTCATGTATTAATTAATATGCATATCTAGCGATGATGGATGCAGATCATGCAGGACACGGAGAGGGAGAACACATCCAACAAACAACAACTCTGGCATATCTGAACTCGAATGAAATTATTTTTTTTTGACGTGTGTTTCCAGGGCAAAAAAAATAGGACCCCTATATAGCGCCTGCAATATACGATCATTCCGGGTTGATTACCCTCCACCCCCACTTTTTTTTTTTTTTTTTTTTTAGTCAACTGATCTGGGAATCGCCATTGAGGCACAAAACTGATTTCTAATTTTCTACAATAATCTATAAATCTTCTCGAAGATTTTCTAGATTTACTTTATTTTTAAAAGGTTAGGGCTCATATTATCAACGATAGGCCTATTCGTCATGGATTTTGGTTATATTTTACAGAGCTACAGCATCTCTGTTTTACTTCTTCATAAAGTAATTTATAATATTGATTATTTGGCCCGAAGTAGGCCTATAATGTTGTGCTTGATCAGCGTACCTTCGTAAACAATTAGATTTAGATGATTTTTTTTTTAAAGAGAAGCATAATAGAAAATATTGATAGGGCTTTTAATATTTGTTTCAACGTGTAAAATAACTTTTCGGTTCAAAGTTTTTAAAGGGAGAGTTGAATTCTTGTTTAATAATGGCACGGGCCGGCTATAGTTGTGAGTATTACAGTGAAGATAAACTTACATCTCCCTGTATAACCAACACTAACTTAAGCCAACATTGGCATTGTATAGCCTAAGGTTTCAACGGCTGGTTCAAGAATCAAAATTATCGAATATTTGTGGGGGCCCTACAAATATTAACAATCATGTTTATGAATATCTGCCGTCTCTGAACCGATTTTAATCAAACAAAGATGAGTTGTCATTTTGTTTGTTTGTTTGTTTTATTTATTTATCCACGGTTAAAACACCTGCTATCAGCCACAAGGCTGTTTTAAAGCCTTGTATGCTCTTTCACATTCAGCACTCAGTTTTTCATTATCGCACCTACAAATTATTTTGTGTATGTGCTCTCTATACCAAAACTCAACTATCCCTTTAATCATGTGCGGGTTGTGTACAAAATGGGGGAAGTTGACCCCTGACCTTCATTATGCCGCTAATACCTATCATTTGTATACAATTAAAATTACTCTGTCTCTTTAAAGTTAAAATATTAGATGTATATACACATACAATAGCATTTGATTATTTTCTACATAACAAAGGTAACACATATTTTGTATTTTTTATGTTGATGTTCTGACAAATAAAACCTTTCAAGATAAAAGAAAGTAATCACTTGGATGAATAAATAAAAGGAAAAAATTAATCGTGATTTGAGAATGAGATCTGAGATCTAATACTACTAGTAGCCCTAATATTATATAGTAACATTTTCGAATTCCGTTCGATCTCTCATGCATATTTCAACACCGTACGTAGAACTACTTTTTTATGAGGACATGCCGTTCACATGTACTGTGACATTAGTACATTACACAAACAATTAACAAACAGCGTATCCCTTTTGTCGGTTAACGTTTCCTGTATATCCTATTCATTTTTTATTTTTTTAAAAAAATCTAGAAAATAAAGCATTTTCCATTGTCATAGCCATGGCCTAGGCTCCCCTGTACCATCCCTGCCTGTATTCATTTTTACTAATAACTGCGTCCAGGTACGGGCTATTGATTGGTCGGTATATTTTCCTTTTTTCAACAGCCAATCAAATAATGGGATTTTGAACCACGTGATATATCCAGGGACACATAAATGCGTGTGCAAAAATAAAACCAAAACAACACGCTCATTGTTTACATCTTCGGAACCTACGTACATACCGAACTACCTACAAACAACTACAATTTAACACATTTTAACACATTTCTTTCAATTTCTTTGTCTTGGTGTTGGATGCGAGACAAGCTGACGGCAACATTGGAGTGAATTTGGTTAGAAGTCGGTGATTCTGCACCACGAACGGAGTCATGGAAGTTGAGCATGTTCCTTTTCAACTCGCGAACCTCGTGCAGGAAAATGGAGACTTTAGCGACGGCGACGAAGGGGACAGCAACAACAACCCAGGGGCCATGACTAACGGCTCAGGTCTCGCTTCTGACACCGCTATCGAGGGCAGAATCACCAAAAAGGCCAAGCGGAGGCTGAAGAGAAGTCCATCGAAGGAGTACCCGGTGGTCTCTTTATCACTGCCTGACCCCAGCCTAACCGCTCTTGGGAACTCCAAAGAAAGACGAGACAGAAAATCCCGCTCGGGAAAAGGCAGGGGCTTGCCAAAGAAGGGTATGATTTGAACTCAGAAAGTTCTCGTTTGAACTCGATGTGTTGAAATTTGATGTTTGGTTGATTGGGGGAAAGGGGGGGGGGGGGGTTGGCATGTTTGTGTCTTGTGCCTTGATGGTGCATAATGATCTGATGATGTTTTAGGATTAAAAAGTGAGACTAGTTTTTATTATTCTTTGTCAATATAAATATAAGGAAGAATTTTGCAGATTTCGAGTGGGTAAACAATGTCAAAATGAGTGAAAGTTTTCTGTTTCATGACTTGGGATTGGGTGAGGTTGACCGATAAATCAGCAAGTATGTTCTGCTGAGACTTGGCGTAAAAGATTAGAGAAGAGCTCACAAGATCAGCAGTAGGGGCGCTGGTCCAAGAATAAGGATTGTCTTCGCATTTTCTCAGACGGTGTTTATTTCCGATCCGCACGTTGGCGATGCGAAAAAACGGATTCCACAATGATTTTCTTGATGCATTTTACATTGACTTTGTACACAGACTTTCACGTTATGAGTGATAGATCCTCGGGAAGACGGTCAACCCATAAAAGTAGATGGTGAACCGGGGTAATTTTCTTAGGCGAAAACCGTTTTTTCGCATCGCCAGCGTGCGGATCGTGAACCCGATTCCCTGCAAACGCTTACGATCCTTATTTTTTAGGACTTATTTTGTCAGCATTTACAAGGATATCCTTGTTTATGCAGACGATCCTGATTCTCGGACCAGCGCCCCTACTGAAGCTATACGTCAATGTGTTGCCAATTTGTATTACACTGAGGATAACTTTAAAAATTCCTTACTTTCCTGATGTGAAAATAGCGATTACTGTACATGTATTTTAAAAAGGCGTGTATGCAGGGAGCTCGCTAAACTCAGCTCAGCAACTTCAGTGTGTGCGCCTAAGTACATACTAATCCTATCGCTATTATAGTAAAATAAGTATCAAATTGGCAATGCAGATACAGTGTTTTTTTGTGTGTGTTCCCCGCATGTATTTTCATTTCCGGCGGTACCAACTCTGCGGACTTTGAAAATTAATGTATGGTCCCTTCTTTGCCTATTTCTTTGTAGGAGGAGCTGGAGGGAAAGGAACTTGGGGAAAGCTTGGCCAGGTGTATGATGAGAATGATGTTGAATGCATTGATTCTCATGACCCCAACTATGACTCTGAGAACCAGGTACGATATTTTTTTTCTGAAACAGCAAGAATTTTGTTATTTCTTGTAAATACTTAATCAGGTAGCCCAGTAAATATCGTATTCCAATGACCGCCCCTTCCCCCCCCTTTGTCTTACAATGTTTACAATTAAATAATCTGGGGATTAGCGTTCAGGACAAGCGAGTTTGCCTTTGTTTTTTCCCATCTGCATAGTGGTTTATCATCTTTACTCATTATTACCCCCTTCGTCATTAACACACTGTACTTGTTTTTTTCCCCCATATGTTTGTCTCTATGTATTCCTTTGCATTTTTTATAATTTACAATTGTACTGTACATTATTTTGTATTTGCATGTCTTATAATTGGAATGTGGAAAATAAATGAATAAAATGAAATGAAATGTAGTGAGTCTAGAAATATAACTATAGGGGTAATTCTATCATCTGTAAAATAGTAATCATCAGAGCTCTCAGCCTCTCATTAATGTTTTGAAAAATGTTGTTTGTGCATGTTAATGAATAACAGTTAGCTTTGTCTAGATGATTATTGACCGGTAGCATAAATTTTATTACACTGTATTTTCTTAATCAGTTTCTGAGGAATTTACTGTGTCTTTTGAAATAATTTTTTAATTGAAGACAACAAAATAAAAGAGAAATACCGGTATATTCATTCTTAACCCAGGGATTGAAACAGGGATCACCCTGGTCCAGAAGGTAAAGGGTTAAAAAGTGTAAATGCTTGCATTGTACAATACATGTACAGTATGCACTTTCAATTCGCAACAGTTTTTTTGTGTGGTGAGGTACTATTGAATTCCAGTGTGGTTACCCAGTCACAGCAGTGCTTAGAATTAGTTTAGATGTACATGTACATGTAGCTTTTCTCCAATCCAAACAGATTATTCATAAATATTCAATTTGAAAGAATTTTGTTGATATATAATGTGCATCGTGAAATCGTGTCTCCTAAATTATCTTGATATGGCTTGTGATATCAAGATAACAACCATTTTGGTGGTGAGAAAACTTGCAGAAACAGAATTTCTTATCATATCAGGTCAATAATATTGTTTACTAGCATTTAAACCAGACTACATGTGAGACTGGGGAGGGAGTCTGGCTTCTGTGAACTGAGTGAACTCGTGTTGACCCTCCACCAGTCGGTCAGACCACAGCAAATTTCTTGGATACTGTATGCCCATTAGTCTGTGACTCCGTGGCACAGATGGTGATGCGATACAGCGTGCATTGCTGCGGTCCCAACTTCAATTTCGTGTTGAAATACAGGCCTAACGACCTGCAATTCGCAGCTAACCAACCTTGAACAGAGTAGTTCTTGTATTCCCCTCATTTAGCCCAATGTTAATTCTTGTATTGACTGATAGAGTGTAACATATATGGCTGTGGTCCCAACTTCAATTTCGTGTTGAAACGCAGGCCTAACGACTTGTCGTTCACTGCTAACCAACCTTGAACAGAGTACATGTAGGTGTATTACCTCATTTAGCCGAATGACCCCAATGTATTGCCTGATCGAGTGTAGCGTATGACTGTGGTTCATATAGGGTGCGGTGTGTTCAAGCGATTTAAAAAAGAAGAAGCTAGAATCACAAACATGAATCACAAATCAAAACGCTGTCACAAAACACGGTCACTTATATTTTCAATTATCAAGGAGTTTTCATGTTCTAGTTCTATGTGGAATTTATAAAAAGTCTAAAAACTTAAAGATAAACTTGAGTTCTGGTAAAAAAAGAAAATGAATTCTCACAGAATCTAATGAAACTTACACAGAATGTTCAAGATTACAAATAAATCTCATGTGCCAAACAATTTTGGAAGAAAATGTATACTGGCTGAGTAATGAGCATAGAAAGATAAGGAAATAAGAAGTACTAGCCCCGACACCATGTGTGTTGTCCCATATACATCTTTCTGTGTAAGTGATTGTTACTTCACCAAGACTCTGCCAAATTTATGATGATTTTGACGACTCCAGAACCTTGCATTACACACCATTACTTACATGCTATATGATCAACTTTTCTGATCCATTCCACACCTTTTTTTTCACAATGCAATCGCATTACCAGAACTCGAGTTTATCTTTAAATTTTTGCTTTTGAATATGGCTCTCCAGTCTCCATAATGGTTTAATTCAACTTGGGATCTTTGGGAAACACCCCCAGGTGTACATGTAATTCAATGCCCCATGCAAGGTTTACCATCAGAATGAAGGAAAGAAGAAAATGGTTAGCGCTTCATTTTGTCTGTTCAGAGGCAGAAGGGCATTAACTCTGTGTTCAAGCATACATTCAAGTACATGTACAAGTCAATGCCCTTCTGGCTCCAAACAGACGATTTGCACGATAAACATGTACCGATACATCATGCAGCCTTTTCACACACAGCTAAAATTCTATAAACATGATTAGTTTAAAGGGCTTTTAAACTAATCACCTGAACATACGACATCATTCACACACAGAAATTTCGGTGCGAACGTTAATCGTTTTGTGATTAACTACTACCCGTAAAATGCGCAGTAGTGCCATTGCGCATTGAAGGTCATGTCATATCAATCAAAGCGCACGCTCCATCCAGTTTAAACACGTCTGAAACACGTTTAAACTCGAATAACCTTTCACACACAAAATGTCAAGCTCTCTAGATACGAACTTCGTATCTGCAGCCTGCTTTTAGGGGCGTATGAATTGCGACTTCGTATCTATCCCAACATCGTATAAACAATGTTCACACTGGGAAAATTTTCTATAAACATGTTTAAAACTGTTGAGTTAAACAAGTTTTCCGGTATACTATAAATCATCTCTGGATACAATGAATTTTAGCTGTGTGTGAAAAGGCTGATGTACAGAGTACTTTACACCCACACACGTCCCATTGTTTGTTCTTGGTACACAAAAACAGTTCAAATTCCTCTGGGAACACACCAGCCTGCCCTATCTCGGGATAGCCTGAGTAAACATATTACGCCCCGATGCCTCCATTTCAAAATAATTATTAATAATGCAGGGTATTTCCAGGTACATTGTGTAAGAGGCAAACAAACTGGGTATTTTATGTGCTTGTTGTTATTGGAAGTCAGTGAACCATATTGGAAAAGCTTGGAAAATCAGGTAAAGAACCCTATGTAGATTTATACATAATCCTCCTATCACTAAATACATGTCTATGGGATTAGTTCTTGGAAATGTCATCCCTGATTAGCTTATTACCACTAAGCAGGACTCCTAATAAGCGGGATTATCTCGCCCAATCAGCTTTGCTTCCAACTGATCAAATCCCAGGTCCGCTCCACTAACATGTACAGTATATTGAATTAACTTTCTCGGGCGTATACACGATGTAGCTTCCAAGAATTTGTTTCCGCTAGCGGGAGTTTTCATGACTGCAAATTGGATTTTGATTTCCAATCTGGCGTGTTCTGAGAAATTACGATAAGGCTGCCGTGAAACATTTGGAGCATGCATGATCCTGCCAAACTCCATGCTGTTTGGAAAATGAATACCCAGCTGGATAGGACACATCCCTTATGTTTAATAGTCACCCCTCTGCTCCACCAGTTTGGAAGTTTGGGGGTCATCGAGGTGTAAATCTGGCTTTTTATACCAAGCCTCTGGACTGGATAGTTCAGTGTTTAAAGGAAAAGACCACGCTTATTCGGTTTCGATCAAATCAGAAAAATGGGAGGAATAAATTAGTGAAAGTTTGTTCAAAATTTGATTATAAATACTTTGGATTGATCACATCTTTTTAACTTCCCAACATATTATTATTAAAAGATCATTGACCCCAAACTTTCACTGATCTGTTTCTTCCATGAAAACCAGCTTAGTATTTGAGTGGGCTTTCCCTTTAATGGGATTGGGTATCAGATTCGAAACAAAATCCTGGATTTAGCTCATGCTGCAATCAAAACAATGAACCTTTAGGTCTGTCAGGAATCCCATGCCGTTTACAAGCTGATCGCCTGTCTGATTATTAAGATATTTATGATTGGAATTCAAAATGTTAAAAACTGTTTTTCCCCCAACGATTTTTATTACACTACAGTCTATTGGGGAAAATGAGTAAGGTAAAACCGGTCACTCAAAGATTTTTACTTTTTGAGGCACTTCATGATCATTTTGAAGCGCAATTTTTTTAGGGCTCCAATATTACACCAAATCACAGACGCTGATAACACGTACAGTTGAAGGGCCATGCATCTCAGATTTGGCATTGTTAAACAATGCCTTTAAAACAGTTGGCAGACAACCCTGCGTGATTACATACATGAAGCTCGTGACATTGCATCATACAAGTCATGTTGAAAAAATGTTGTGGCGAGGAGACGGGTGCGTGCATCGCATAAATGTGTTTACTTAAAATTCATGGAATCGATCATGTTTGATAGATATCATATCATTTCATCTCAGGAGCAAGGATTCATAAACAATGGCGTTGTTGAATGACATGACCTGCGCATGTACATTGTACATATAAAGTACATGTAAATGTAAATATTGAATTAAAGAATGTTATTAAAGAATGCTTTCCAGTTGTCGCAGAATAATATTTGCTTCTTCAAATTTAACACGGTTCTAAATTATGTTGACCAAAGAACTTTGGTACATGTAGTTTGCAAACTGGGGTTGTATTTTGAAAATCCTTGTACATGTAAGTTTTCTTCTAAGTTTTCTTGTATTTTTTGGTGATATTAATGGATCGCTAAAATTAGTTGGTATTTTTTTAGCCGTCTGTTCTCTCTGGAAAGACCTCCTTTATTTTATCATTGACACGCCCATATTTTGTGACACCAGAATTTTGCCCAGGAAACATGGGCACCCAATATCTAAAGGATAGACCCCCCAAATGGTGAAAAATTCACATGTAGGGCTCATACATGTACAAACTGTAAACAAACTAGATGGAACTTTGACTGCGCGCAGTCAAAAATGATGCCTCCGCCATAGAGCAATTTTACAAACCAAAACAGAAACAATTTTTAAATTCAAGTTTGATTGTAATCCATCTGTGGGTTTTAATGATAATGCATGCACAAGCTATTTTTGGCATACATAATGAGCCATGTGACCTTTGACCTTCGACCTGGTGACCCCAAAATCTAATCAGTTCATTGGCTCTGCAAGATACATACATGACTTGAGTTTGATAGTAATCTGTCTATTTGATCTCATGATAATGCGATCACAAGCTATTGTTGGATACATAAAGACCCCTGTGACCTTTGACCTGGTGACCCCAAAATCGAATCATTTCATTGGCTCTGCAAGATACATACATGACCTGAGTTTGGCAGGAATCCATCAATCGGTTCTTGAGATAATGCGATCACAAGCTATTTTGCATACATAATGAGCCCTGTGACCTTTGACCTTCGACCTTGTGACCCCAAAATCTAATCAGTTCATTGGCTCTGCAAGATACATCCATGACTTAAGTTTGGCAGGAATCCATCAATCAGTTCTTGAGATAACGCGATCACGAGCCATTTTCGCATACATAATGAGCCCTGTGACCTTTGACCTTGGATCTCGTGACCCCAAAATCTAATCAGTTCATTGGCTCTGTGAGATACATACATGACTCAAGTTTGGCAGGAATCCATAAATCGGTTCTTGAGATAACGCGATCACGAGCCATTTTCGCATAAATAATGAGCCCTGTGACCTTTGACCTTGGATCTCGTGACCCCAAAATCTAATCAGTTCATTGGCTCTGTGAGATACATACATGACCCAAGTTTGGCGGGAATCAACCAATCGGTTCTTGAGATAACGCGATCACGAGAACGGGACGTACGGACGGACGGACAACCCAAAAACATAATGCCTCCGGCTACTTTGTAGCGGAGGCATAAAAATCTACCCCCCCCCCCTAACCCCTTTAAAAAAAAAGTTCATGGGGAGCCCTGCATGATGCATAATTAATAGAGGAAGGGTATGACAAGGTTTCGTGCCTGCAAACTACTCGGGTGCAGTGAATCATCAGGGGGGTGTTTCACAAAGACTAAGATCAACTTTAAGTTGGACTTACATGTAGCTGTAAGCAGGCTGTGCCACTGTTTGCTCATGCCATTTACTGGCATTGGTCTCTCAGGAGCCATTACAAATCATAGTCACAAATCAACAGAATTTATATTTTTTTGATAATTCATTATTGAAGTAAACAATATCAACTAAAGATCATAATGATGAGAGCAAACACTGGCATGAACGGCCTGCCATAGTTAATTCAAACTTCAAGTTTATCTTAGTCTTTGTGAAACACCCCCCCCCCCCCAGATTTGATATAGTATCACATGTGATAGAGGTGTTTGTTGATTGTTTTGTAGCTATCATGAGCTCTCGGGCATTAGCAGCAGGTGTTATAAGGCGCGTCTTCATTATCTCAAAATTGCCAAATAGCCCGCTATTTCTGATTTGGGAAATAATCCTGAAGTTACAAATCGCGTCCTCATCAGCTCTAGATTCGACCTCGAAACTTGAAACTCGACCTTGAGAAATTAGTTTGAGATATTTGCTCAGCGTACGCGCATAGTGCGAGTCTTCGGTCTGGTGAAGACGCACCGGACAAATAGCTGGATATTTGCCAAATAGTGAGATATTTTGCAAACTATCCCAATATATCTTGGGATGACAATTCCGACGAAATATCCCGCTAATTGCCTCTTCGGGCTGATGAAGACGCAAATTAGCTGGATAGTTTGCGATCGGGATAGTTCAAATAGCGGGATATTTGGCAATCTCGAGCTAGTGAAGGCGGGCCTACACCTGTATGGTCACCAGATGGTGTGTGTGGTTTGAAGCAGGGTGAATCAGATGATATCTGCCAATCCCTAACCTTGTACCTATTTTTCATTGTCATAGAATTTTGTAGTGTGGGTAAATATTTATAGGAAAAAGGGAGAATATTTTGAGGTCACTCAACAACAAAAAGCGAAGACAAAAAGAAAAAAATAAGAGAGGGAGAAAGAGAGAGAGAAAAGGGGGAAGGGGGAGGCTTGATATCATTCTGATCCTCAATTTAATGTTACGTGTAAGAAACATGCATACAATTTGAAAATCAATATTCCTGATCTGGACACAAACCTTTGTAAATTTCAAGATACAATGTATTTCACATATTCCTACATGTAGAGACCAAAGTGTATTACTTGTGTTGTGTACAGTGTATGGAAAAGTTATGTTGGAAAAGGTGACTCTTATCCAAAGTGATCCTTGCCTTTCCAGGAATTATGATGGGATGATCGGATATGACATTGTCTTTTTATAATGTCTATTCTGTTTTGTTTTAATTTTTTTTAAAGCTGAAATTTGATTTGCCCATCACTTTTATGTTTCATAACTTATTGGCATTTTTTTTCTTTCTATATCTCTCTTTGCCCTTCATGGGAGATCTGAGAGTTTCTGTAATAACAATATAATATTAATCTTCATACACAATGCACATGTACATGTACATGTTTATGTACATTTCTGCTGTTTCAACTTTAGAAACTCATTGTATGCATGTATATTGTACATGTACATGTACAATGTATGTAGATGAGCAGGATGCTGTACAATGTAGGTTTACATACATGTATGCTAGTATTTTAAAGCAGTTCTACATGTATCTTGGTTTAGAGACAACTTTCAATGATATGTTTTTATTTCAATGTACAGCCAGTGTCACACAGAGGCCCAAAATCTGGATTTTAGTTATTCTCTTACATGTAATTGCTGTCTATCATCAATTATCCCATTAAAAATCCTCTAACGAAGCAAGAAAATTCTCTCTTGAAAGGATTTTTCTGTGTGACACTGCCTAATATGTATACTGTAGATTGTATCTTTGATCGAACTGATTCCATGGTATGTATTCTTTCTCTCTTCCATTCCAGGATGATTACACCGTGAAGACCGTCATCCCCATCCTCACCGACGAGGAAGTCATTGAGATGATTGAGCCCATCTTCCAGGAGTACTTTGAGCATGGCGATACCACTGAAGTGGCTGTAAGTATAATCTTAACCCATTGGATACCATGAGCCAGGTGGATCCTGTGTTAAAGGGGTAGTTGAGTTCTGTTGCAGAGGGTGCTACACAAAATAATTATTTGTGAGAATGAAAAGCTGAGTGTCAAATTTGAAAGAACATAATATTTAAATGACAAAATCATCTTTGTTTGATCAAAATCGGTTCAGAGACAGCTGCAATATCCATAAATATAACGATTTCTAATACTTGTGTTCCAGCACAAATATGAGATATTTTGAAAAATTTGAAAAAGCTGTCGAACAAACGACATAACGCCTTTTACGATGTATTTCAGCCAATGCCGATGTTGGCTTTTTTGTTGGCATTTTCGTGTTGCTTATATTACCCACAATAAGCCGGTTCATGTATTGTTATTTTTAATTAAATAATTAACGGTCACCATGTTTTTTTAAAAGTGGAGCTGAATTAGTATGATCGCATTGGCTAAATTTCACACATTTTGGGGTCTAAAATTACATGTACCTTCATAGCAATTTTAGGTTCTAAAAGGGCACTATACATGTCAAAGATAAGAATAAGAGCAATAACCATGCATTTTGAAGGCATTTGCAGTCTGAAACAGAACTCAACTATCCCTTTAAAGAGGCATGTTCCCCGTATTCCAGAGGGCGTTCAAAATACGTACCCGCTGGCGGACGGTGCTAGCTGCCTATTGACACCAACAGAATACGGCTCTTACGCAGATGGCATGTTCCGAATGCCCGGACAATACCGATTATCGCATACATGTGCCGAAGTAATGCCAATCGCAGTTCGGCTCTAAGATTCGGCTGCTGTTTCCGCCCACTTTCGTGACGTCGCGATCGTCAGCGATCAGCTGGCTTGGCGAAGGCAGGCCAGGCCGCGCGTACTTTGATTGACAGCTGTATGCAAATTAGAAGTCGATCTTCGGAACCAAGATGGCGATGACCAGAGCAGCGCAACTACACTGCGGGGACGATGCTCCTTTAACTGTCATATGATTGAAAATTACTATTGACTTCCAAGAGGGTTGATGAGATTTCTCATTCTTAATTTAGAGTTTACAAAAGCATTGACAGTTTAGTACTTTACTGTCATATGTCATAGGATCGATGAGATTTCTCATTCTTAATTTAGAGTTTACAAAAGCATCAATGGTCAATGGTACTTAACTGTCATATGATTGAAAATTACTATTATCTTCCATATGCAATTGAATATGGACTTACAAGAATTGATTCTTAGAAAAAAGGAATTCTTAGAATAGAATCCTTATTCTCATAGACAATGAATATTGATTTCCCCTTATTTTACTTCAAAGTGAAATCCAACCTCAATAGCAAATTTTTCTTAAAGCAAACAGAAAAATACAGTGATGCAGGTTTGTGAAAGTTTCGATATACACTGACAAGCTCTGAGGAATTAATGATATTTTAGTACGTAAAATCCTGTAAACGAGAAAATTAGAGAGTTGGCTGTAATCCACTGATCTTATTGCCAATTTGAGATTGCATAGATTTAGTGATCTCATATTTCAAAACTTTAGTCTTTCTTGATATTGGTCCGGTATATTTTAAACTCTGTTTCTCTTACATTTCTTCTTGCACACAAATGAACTTATTATAAAGTTTGAACATAGCAGACAAGATATGTATGAAGGTCTGAATGTTTAATTAGTGAATTGTATAAAGACTAGTTGGTAAAGCTTTTTTGCAGGGATGCCAGTTTTAAGGCAATAGCCTGAATTCAGGCCCTGGCGAGTTATTTCTCAGACCATAGTTTAGGATTTTTTTGTGTACAAAATAGTTCATTCTAGATGATTTTCAGGCCCTGTGATCAATTCTAACTGGCATCCCTGTAATGTGGTATTACAGTATATCATGCATCAACAATTTATTGGCTTTTGATTGGTTGAGAGCTCATCACGTGACCAGATATATTTCATCTTTTTTAAGGTTGCTCTGAAAAAGTACTATATGAGAGTACTATTTGGGAGTAGAAGTACTACATTGTATTTGGGAGTTGAAAACATATTGTGAATTTTTTTTTTGAATTGATTTTTTTTTCTTTTTCTAGTCTTAATTTAATGAAAACAAAATATGTTACATGTAAATCTTTTTTGATAAAAATTGACATTTTTTCTAATTCTAATTTTTTTTTCTTTCCCCAAAATGGTAATTTTGTTTTTGTTTGAATAAATTTTTGATGCAGGATATAAAACAATTATACCATGCCTTCTATTTGAGGTACTGGTTAAAACTATGGTCCTCGGGACTCATAGTCCCTCAGCAAATGGTACTATTGGAGTTACCTCTTGCGCATAGTTTTAACCAGAACCTCTCAAGACAGTGTATATTTGTATAATATTTCTCTGATTCTCCTTGACAGTGTTGCCTGGAAGAGTTGAACCTTGCTGACAAGGTGTGTCTTAAGGTGCCCGCCTTGGCCGTCACCCTGGCCTTGGAGAAGAAGGCCACCCAGAGGGAACTGACCTCTCGTCTCCTCTCGGACCTCTGCGCCAAGGGGGTCATCACGGACAACACCCTCATGGCCGCCTTCAAGAAGCTCCTGGATGACCTGCCCGACCTGACCCTTGACACTCCTGATGCTCCATCGGTAAGAAGGGCTTAGAAATTGATGATAAACCTGAATGCTAAGAAAGCATAAATACTTGTTAGTAAGCATCCAGAGGACCTGGGAATGAGGATTAATGTCTTACCAAAGTGCACTAGCGCATTGACTTGGTTTTGAACCGGGGCCGCCGGATTACAAGACCACTGCTCTACCCACTGACCTATCGCACCTTAGAAGGGCTTAGACATTTGTGATTTACCTGAGCAGCATGTTGTGAAGGCGCTCAGACATAAACTTCTGGGGACAGTTGCTCTTGGCTGTATTTTGTCCAAGATATAGGGTTAGGGTTAGGGTTGCGATTGGGGTTTTAGGTTAGGTTTGGGGTTAGAGTTAGTGTTAGGTTTAGCGTGTGATCCAGGGTTAGTAAAGATATCAACCGCTGAGCAGTTGATGTGTCTCCTTTGGTATTTTGATGGTTAGGAATGACATTAAGAAGGATCCCTATATGGTGCGTCCCAGAAAAAACAAAACCGAGAATTATCCATGTTATATTATAACTTAATCACAATTCTAATTAATAAATGACACATATTTGTAAAGCTGAGATTCTCCTCTTTCATCTGATGCAACTCATGATGCCTATTTCACGCATGAGGGATTACAAACAATTTGAAGAGAGGGTACCAAATAGTCATTCTCTGTCCGCCATCCCCCCTCTCCTCCCCTGTTAGTGTTCAGCTCTGCATATTAATTCAAGCCATGATCCTAGAAGAGGTTTATACTTACTTTTCCACCAATATGATAGATCTGAGCAAGGGCTCCTTCAAATGTTTGTGATTGAGTTGTGGTGTTTATTTTATTCATCAGTATGAAATTGTAAATTTGAGAGCTACAAATTAGAATGATTGCAACCATGGGCAGAGAGGAGACTAGGTTTAGGAGAAGGATAACCTATACATCCGCTAATTGTGGATACTTGTTCCTTTTGTAGTGATTGTTTTGTTTTTGTGTTGTACGTAACGATTTCTTTCTTCTCACTTCACGTAGGTCCTGGGGCATTTCATGGCTCGTGCCGTCGCTGATGATTGCCTTCCGACTGCCTTTGTCCAACAGTTAAAGGGCAGCATGCAGTGTGAGCATGGCAGGTAAATATATGCAAATTATCTCCAGGGGAATGATGTTTAAGCCTGTCTCCACCAATTTGGCTAGGGGGATTAGACCTTCCTGCAAGGTCACTGACAGGTGGTTATCTCATCAAATCGGCTCTTAATTAACATAAGAAAAAACGGACCATGGGGGACCAACGGTCACCGCTTAGGCATTGTTTGCTATATAGAGGGTGCAAGTAGCTATAAGTAGTGCAGTGAGGCTTTAAAGGGTGTACTATTTTAATTCTTCTGGGTCAATGCTGCCAAGTATTCTAAAGATGTGTGTACAGCAAGATACTTACACTCTATTGTGATGTAATATTACACAAAATTCTCACTGTTTGCAGTGTATCAAAAATTTTGTCAAACACTGGATGCACCGTGCTGGTTTGACAAAGTTTCTTTAGTTCTTTGAGAATGTCATGGTTGATGCAGTGGGGCTTTAAAGGGTGTACTATTTTAATTCTTCACAGTCAATGCTGCAAAGTATTCTAAAGATGACTTTTGAAAAAACAGTTTGAAAAAGAACATGAAAAGGATATTTTTTCCTTAGCTTTAAAACGTAAACAGTATAAAATGTTATGCAAAACCAAATGAAATGTTTCTCTCAGTAACAAAATTGGTAAAATGTATACTTTCTGACATACTTTATGTGATATGTTTTGTGTGATTGTTTTCAGGATGGCGTTGGATCGAGCCAGCAACCTGCTGAGTGTGAATCATGGCATCCATCGCATGGACAACATCTGGGGAGTAGGCGGGGGCATCAGACCCGTCAAGATGCTCATTAAGAAGGTATTACAGTCAAACCTGGGCTCTGTTTCATAAAACTTGTGATCAATAACAAGTTACGATAATTGTTATAAGCTACTGAAATCTGAGCATTTGATTAGACCCGCGGCGGCACTGATGTTCTTTGGCAAGACATTGATTTACGTTTGCCACGCTCAACCCAGGTGATGTAAATGGGTACCTGGCAGGAATTAATTCCTTGAAATGCTGGAGCGCTTTATAAACCGCAGCTGGGTTAAAGTCAGGGTAATAATAAATGCGCCTCGGAATAGAATTATCTAGATAGACGGCGCTATAGAAATGCCTATTATTATTATTATTATTATTATGGCTGAGAGCAAATTTGTCTAGCATTTGTTATAGATAAAAATTTTCATGAAACAGGCCCTGCTTCCCCCGATAAGCTGTATAGAAGGACAATCCGTCTTTGGAGATCACATTCTTCTGTATCTCTTGGAAGAATGCTTCTCATTGAAAAACGATTTGATAAATAAAACCTTGTATAGAGTCCACCTACCTATTGAGACCGCCCTTTGTGCTCCCTTGGATGGTTTTTCTGTACAGTGGGAAACATTTAAGTGGGAGCATCAGACCGGTCAAGATGCTGATTTACGACTGCCTGTGTAGAAAGACTGCATTCTTTTGTATCCCTTGGAAGAATGATTCTCATTGAAAACGGTTGAAGGAAACCTTTGTGTAGATACCTCCTGCCTGTTAAAGGGAAATCAAACCTTCTCTAAATCAAACTTCTATAAAGGAAAGCAGAAAATTCAGAGAAGCAGACGGGTGGAAGCTTAATTGAAATCAGACAGAAAACGAGATAGTTATGAATTTTTAAAAGTTGGAATTACTGTAGGTATGGGCTCTACAATCGGGTGAATCGTTAATGTCTCTGTGATGTAGAGTCGGACAACTTTCGCCATTCTATTTCTAATATATTTCTGCTTTTATACAAATGAACTTTTTAAAAGTGTTGGATTGCCCTTGCAGACTGCTCTTAATGTCTCCCTTTGGATGGGTTTTCTGTACAGTGGGAAATAGAGAAGTGGGAAAAACCTGTTTGATTCTACAACATAGACATCTTCCAGGGTTTGCCCTTTTTTTTATCTTGTTTTTTTTGTTTTGATCAAGAGCAATTTAAATTAGTAATTTGAATTTTAAAAATAATTTTGGATTGATTCAGTGACTTGGCTCACCTTTTATTTTTGCCGACCCTGTAGCAATCTATTTGACATATATTACAAAAAGATTTATTTTCATCCTTATTCCAATTCATCATATTTGTAATTCTCCTTGTATATAGATGGTCTTGCTCCTGAAGGAGTACCTCTCCAGTGGAGAGATCCCAGAGGCTGTCCGATGTCTCCAGGAGCTGGAGGTTCCTCACTTCCACCATGAGCTCGTCTATGAGGTGAGGAAAACAACAATAATAATACTATTCCGCTTTTATATAGCGCACGATACAACGATGTGTGTAAGCGCGTTACAGATATATTATATTACCCCGGTCATCGGATTCCATACATTTAGGTCCCAAAAGTAAACTTAGTAATCCATTGTTATTTGTATTGTTAGAAAAACCAAAGCAGTGAAAACTCAGTGACATGTTCATTTCTTACTTGAGTACCTTGCCTTTTATATGAATACCATTCATATAATTTTTTTGAAAGAAAAAAAAAGAATATGTTAAAAAGATTTTTTAGACACCTTTGTTTTGAGACAAAGTCACACAAGGCATTGTTACATGCATATATATATATAGATATTCAGGAAGCTTATCTGATCCTGTGTTTCCTGTAATATAGATACTTCCTTTCTAGTAGCTTCCTTCAGGTACCTGGGTACGAAACAACCCTGAATGTGATTAAAAGGTAACTACCCCATGGACTACCATCCCCCAGACACCCTCCTCCCCCCTCCCCTGCGTGCACCCGGGTGGAAGATGTCCAACGTGGTATTGTCCTTACCAGTTAGTTGTCCTGAAACTTATTTGAAGATTACCTTTGAATAAAATTGCCATTTTATGTAGATGTCGCTTTAGAATCTCAAAATTCACTTAGTAGATTACGCTTTTCATGCCTGTCTGCACTTGTTTGGCCAGGAGGGATAAGACCTCCCTGCAAGGTCACTGACAGGTGGTTATCTTATCAAATCAGCTCTCAATTAACATTAAAAAAATGGGATCATGGGGGACCAACACGCAACGCTTAGGCATTGTTTGCTATATAGAGGGCGCAAGTAGCTACACGTAATGCTGTCCCGCTTTAAAGCGCAGATTTCGCTTCAAAATGTCACAATTTCATTCTGAATCTGTAGCCAAACAGGAATATTCCCTATTTTTTGGAACCATAAAATGTGAATGATTTTAAAATAAAATAATTGTTGTTTGTTTTTAGGCTTGTGTAATGGCTTTGGAGGTCGGAGGAGAGAGGACAACAGAAATGATGGTAGCCCTGCTCAAAGAAATGTATTCAACCACCATCATTACCTACGATCAACTTGTGTCTGTAAGTTGGCTTCTATCAGTTTGATGAAATAAAGACCTGGAGAGTGTTTCACAAAGATCTTAGTCGATCTTAACTCTAAGTTGGACTTAAATATTATGGAAAGCCATTTGTAGCCTTAAAATAAAATATATTCAATTAAAAAATTCAAGTATTTAGACTTTTCATAAATTACACATCAAGAACATGAAATATCGTTGATAAAAGAAAATGTGAATGATTCGAATTAACATAAATATTTACAAAGATGCTAACAGCTTTCTATGGTTTTTAAGTCCAATTTAGAGAAAAGTTCAACTTAGGATCTTTGTGAAACGCTCCCCTGGAGAGTGTTTCACAAAGAGTAAGATCGATATTAAGTTGGACTTCACTATGGCAGGCCATTCGTGCCACTGATTGCTCTCACCATTTACTGGCAATGGTCTCTCAAGGGACGTTCAAATCATGGTCACACATCTACATAATTCAGCTTTCTTGATAGTTCATTATTGAAGGAAAAATATTATCTGAAGATCATATTTGAGAGACCAATGGTGAGAGCAACCAGTGGCATGAATGGCCTGCCACATCTAAGTCCAACTTTAAGTTGATCTCAGTCTTTGTGAAACACTCCCCATATTTTGCATGCATGTGTCCAGGAAGAAAACATGCATGAGGGATCCATTTTGAATGGGCTCCTAAAATTTAACCATCAACCCCCGAAACGAGCAATTAAAACAGAGCTGTATATGCATACAGACCCTTGGAATTTCGATCTGGACCCCTGGATTGAAATTAAAAGAAATACAAATCTTGTAATAATTCAATTTGTATAAAAGCAGAAAAAATAAGAGAAAAATGGCAAAGGTTATGGTTAGAGTATTTATAATATGGGATCACCAAATCTCCATTTATCATGTACAAAAAATATCATAGTATTTTATTACAGGTCCCCTTAAAAGAAAAGACCCTCCACAGTCATACATGTCAAAATAACCACGACCATGTTAACAAATTGACATTTTAGTCATTTTGCATGTTGGACAAATGGGGAAAGTTGTTCAGCGATTAGTCACTACGTGGCACTACCGATCCAGCTAATTTAATGTTCCCATACATAAAGTGATTACAACTAGATTAAAAATTCATAACTTTCTTATTTTTTTCTGTTCAGTTCAAACTTTTACTAATCTGGTTCTCTGATTTTTCTGCTCTCTTTTAGAGTAGTCTACTACAAACGTTGGATTTCCCTTTAATGTTGGATCTATCCCTAGTTATGCAGAGTTATATCTATTTCCCCTTTATTTCTTCTGTTCTAGGGTTTTGAGCGTGTGTTTGACGCATTGCCGGACTTGGTTCTGGACGTACCCTTTGCGTTCCAGATCATGGATTACTTTGGAGACCTGTGTGTCAAGGAGAAGCTCATGTCACCGCAGATGAGAGACAAGGTCCCAAGCAGGTAAAAATACAACCATATAATGGGGTGAGAGGAGGAAAGGGCTAGTTAGTTAGTTATCATGTTCGAGTGGTTTAAGGCGCTTGACTGGAGATGGGAAGGTCGAGGGTTTGAATCCTGACACGGCACTAATATCTTTTGGAAAGATATTAACCTGCACCTGCTACTCTCCACCCAGGTGTTGAATGGGTACCCGGTAGGATGTAACCGTCATTGTTAGTCAAAGAGTTTTCGAGCGTCAAGTAATGCCTGGCTGGAATGCTCCCCAGGGAGTGGAGATTGTGCACACATTGCGTGCGGGCAAGTATTGAATCCAATGACCGGGATAATAGTATATCTGTAAAGTGCTTAGCGACATCATAGATGTATTAGGCGCTATATATATATATAAGCAGAATTATTATTATTATTATCTACAAAGTGCCCCTGTGAAAACATGTAAACTGGTATATCAAGAGCATCATTTATGTAATGAAATATAATTTTGGATACAAACATTTTTGTTGCTGTTGATTGTTACAACTGGTTATTTTTTATAAAAGGGCATTTTGTGTGTTGGTTTGTTGAGATGTTAACAAATAAGCCAATCGTCCATCATCTTCTTTCTTGCAATTCTTGATACTTAATTTCTTCAGACATTGATATTGCACATCGCAACAGCATTACATTAGCAAGTTGTGCATTATTATTATTTATTTTTGCCTTGTGAAATGGTGTACTTCAAAATTACCGTCCTCCTTAAATGAAATGACTGAACAGCATTACATTAGCAAGTTGTGTATTTAATTTTTTTCATATGAAATGGTGTACTTCGAAATTACCGTCCTCTTTAAATGAAATGACTGAACAGCATTACATTAGCAAGTTGTGTATTTATTTTTGCCTTGTGAAATGGTGGACTTCAAAATGACCATCTTCTTCAAATGAAATTTTTTTCTACACTTTCAGGGGCCGCAAGCGTTTCGTTTCAGAGGGCGACGGCGGACGCGTCAAGGACGAGAGCAAGTGAGACGAAGGGGAGGATGATGACGACGACGAGTCGTGAAATGTGTGGCCACCGACTAGTAAATAAGTATTATAATAACGCATGGTCTAGAACGAAAGTAACCAAGTAAGCCAAGTTCAAAACTACATTTAACGTTGAAGGTGCCACTCAGGAAAATCTCTTGTACATAGTTGTGCAAAAAAATAACTTGTAAAAACAGAAGAAAAGAAAAAAAAGAGTATAACTATAGTTTGTTTAACAAAAAAAAAGGATCTTGGATCATTTTGCAGAAGAGTCAGTTTAAGAACTGGTCGTATGTAAGTAAAAAAAGAGAGGATTATTTTTCAATGCAGTCTCGCTGTGCTTATTATACACTTTATATGACAGATCAGTCAAGTTTTAACACTTTTACATCTTTTGCTGGTTCATTGAAAGACAGGGCCAGTATAATGCTTCTTCCTAAGATTGTTGTAGTGTTCAGCATAATTCAACTAATATGTTTGCTTTGATCTTTTTGATGGTCTTTTAGATACTCGCCCCCGTACTTTCTTTTAACACTTCTTCCTTCCAGAGATTTAGGTTCAAGGGGTGTAGTCATAGTCAAAGAAATTTGAATTGTCTACAAGTTTTCAAAGTGTAATTATTATATTTCATTCCAAAGATATTTTGTGTTGTAATGGCAATGCATTTAAAGTATTAGCCTATCTTTTTATTTTTTTCTCTCTTTTCTCCGAACAACACGAGGTTGTTCTGAATCGCTATTCTTTGATTTGCTATTTTTAATTTTGTGAAGCAATGCAAAACTAGCTGAAATGAAATTGTTAGTATGGAAATGACTTTGTGAGGTGTAAATTTGAAAAGGAAGAAAGACAGGTCTTATGGACAAAGCAAATGGCACATTATCAATTTACTAATAAATTCATTAATCACATAATCGCTCTTCTAATACTACTGTCTATTTACAGGCAATACATGTACTAAATTTTCAGATGCAACTGTTAAAAGCAGCCTTCTTTTTGTGAACATTTTTGTCTTCTTAGCGGACAGGGAGAGCTATAAAAGAGGCGCTGATTTTTCCATGACCCGTTGTTAATGTTTAACTGTTTTTGTATGGAGCTCTTTTATCTGGAGTCGTACTAGATGTCTTTAACATCATACCATACTCTTTTTTTGTTGTTGTCTCTCTCCACCGTGAGGGGATGTAATAAAAAGATGTTGCCTGTACTGTCTTTCAAAACGCTCTCAAAATGGCTGTTTGTTTATTTCATATGGCATGTATTTGGTAGAGATAGGGAGGAGAGTGAGAGGAGGGGGGGGGGGGGGGGGGGGGGGGATGGCAATGCTGGGGTGTTGATAATCGCAGGGCTTGTAGGAAGAGCAGTAATAATATCGATAATACAACTATACATGTATTATTTTGTTATTATAGAGAGGAAGGAGAGAGAGAGAGGAGGGGGTACCTCACAATGCTGGGGTATTGATAATCGCAGGGCTTGTAGGAAGAGCACTAATAATATCGATAATACAACTATACATGTATTATTTTGTTATTACAGAAAAGGAGAGAGAGAAAAGAGAAGAGGGGGGGGGGGGGGGTGGGGGTACCTCACAATGCTAGGTATTGATTATCGCAGGACCTGTCGAAAGAGCAGTAATATTGATAATAAGACTATACATGTATCATTTTGTTATAACAGAGACAGAGAGAGAGAGAGAGAGAATAAGGAGAAAATAGAACGAGCAAGTCGAATGAGAATAACGAGGAGAGAGCGCTAGTCAAGAGGGTGAAATAAGAAAGAATGAAAAAGGTGAAAGAGAATCAGGAGGAGGGAGAGAGAGAGAGAGAGAGGAATAAAGAAGACAAATGAGAATAATGAATAGGTTGAGGGAGAGAGAGGGGGGGGGGGGGGGGTGAGGCATAATGCAGTCTACTAGATCAGCATTTTTCAACCTTTCTTTAGTTACAGCATGAACCTACTATCACATTCACAGCGCCCTTTTAGGAATTAAAAAGTGTTGTGTCACGCCGCATGCAATCTAAAATTCATCAGAGATGATTTATTTTCCATCTCTCGATCGGAAGCATGAATGTACAGGCACATTTTCGCGTGAGGGCCAAGAGCTAAGGCCTCTCAGGGGCGGATCCAGCCGGCGGCAGGGGAGGGGCCAAAGAGGGGCCCCAATTCATGAGAAAATATAAAGCGGAACAGCCAGTCACTGAATAAGCGAGGGGGGGGGGGGGGGGGGTAAGAGCACTAATTTCTTCTTTTTTTGCCCCATATTTTCTTTAAATCGCACCCGGCCCCCTTGAGCACCAGGGAAGGGGGCCCGTCTTCAAATAAAGGTAACATTTGTTTGTGTTTTTACCTGTGTTTTTTCCAGGGGAGGGGGCTCCCCCCCCCCCCCCCCCCCCCCCCCCCCATGGATCTGCCACTGGGGTTGAGCCCCATGAAGAAGCTCATGGATTTGTAGGCATTTTATTACGGTTAGATGAGCATCCATGCAGGGCCCTTAGTGGGGTCCAGGGGTAGAGCTCCCGGAAACTCGGGGGTTTTAGGCATTTAATTCCGGTCAGATGAGCTTATTTTGATACTTCATTTGTGACTCTTAAGACAGGTCACTCATTCTTTCTTCTCTTTTTCTTTCTTTTTTATCGTCATCATCATCGTCATTAGAAGTAGGAACAGTAGTAGAAGTAGTAGTAGTAGAACAGCCAGATGACCTCTTTGAACCAACAAAGAATATGGTTGATAAGAACCTGCCCCAAACGGTCATCATCCACGTCGGATCAAACAATATGGCGATGAATGACTCAACAACAATTGAGAAAAAAGTGGAGTCACTGGCCGTTCAAATCCTAGGTGAATGCTCTTCCGTGAATGCGATTACGATTAGCTCCATCATCAAAAGGAGAGCGTATCAAAGTGACCTCCTCAACAAATGGAATGACACCAACAGTCGAATAAAGTCAATGGCCTTATCCCACGGATGGGACTTCATCAACAACGACTCTATCGAGCCAATTCAACATCTATGCAATGATGGCATACATCTCAGTCCTGAAGGGGTTAATGTATTCGCCCAGAATCTTATCCGCCACATCAACTCAGAACGAGATAGTCGATTGCAGAGAGATGATCAAACGATTTTTTATTTTTTTTTGGCCCTCGAAAATTTGAAAATTTGCACCCCCTCCCCGAAAAGCTAAAAATCACGTGTTTTTCCCCAGCCCCCCCCCCCCCCTGGATCCGCCACTGCCACTCCCCATCCTTTCCCATCTGACCCGCATCCTTTCTCCATGGCAATGCAGAATCCGCATCAGCAAACTACCTCAAATGTGTCTGGAGGACCGCAACTGCAACCTCCTACAATGAGCTAATAAGCACATGCTGTTTCTTCCCCTCGCTACACAGGACGTTTTTACTGTGGAGAAACAAATCACAAGCACCTAAACCGCCGTTATGGAGAAAAAAAAATTAGCTTGGCAAGACAATAATGAAAGAAAAGACTACTTTCTTGCCACACAAATGTTCAAATGTATACATGGTCTAGCCCCTCCACAGCTTTGTAATGATATCGATTTTTTTTTGTGAACGACATAATCACCATACTAGGAACAATGATAGTCTTAATGTAGTCCCACCTGAAGTCCACCTCTCAATTTTTAAACGAGCTTTTAAATTTTCCAGTGCTAAGCGATGGAATGACATTCCCCACTTTTTACCAAATGCCCAAACAATTGAAACTATAAATTGATTTATAAGAAGTTTTATTTTTAATTTAATTTTTGTAATTTATATATCTATTGTACTCTTTTGTATTTTTTACAAATATTTTATTAGAATGTATAATACATTAGTATGTTATATCTAATGATACTTACATTTCTTAGTTTTTACTATTTTGTTTTAAATTTATGTCAACATAATGCAGTTAAATTATTGTATTTGAAACGTTGTTATACATTTCACATGTGATTTGCTTTTTAATGTTAACAGGACCATGTTGAAAAACAGTATACCTGAACATATTATCCTGTATAAAGATGTTTTAATAAATAAATACAAATAGTAGTAGTAGTAGTAGTAGTAGTAGTAGTAGTAGTAGTAGTAGAAGTAGTAGAAGTTGTAGTAGTAGTAGTAGTAGTAGTAGTAGTAGTAGTAGTAGTAGTAGAAGTAGTAGTAGTAGTAGTAGAAGTAGTAGTAGAAGTTGTAGTAGTAGTAGTAGTAGTAGTAGTAGTGGTGGTGGTAGTAGTAGTGATAGTGGTAGTTGTAGTAGTAGTAGTTGTAGTAGTAGTAGTAGTAGTAGTAGTAGTAGTAGTAGTAGTAGTAGTAGTAGTAGTTGTAGTATCATTACTATTTTGTTATTAGGATTATTATTAATTTTGTTATTATTAATACTACCAGTATTATCATTATTATCAGCAGTAACAGTATCATTATTGCAATTATTATCAAATGCAATTTCATACGATTATGAATAATATTTCACATTTAACCTGATTATTATCAATTTTTCAGTGTTGTTTCCCCCTCTCGCAACTCAATCATAATCTCTGCTAGATTTATGATGGAAAGATCGGAATAATTAACTCAGGGATTTTCAATGTGTCTTTCACTTTAAGTTTAACAATACTCCCAATACTCCCTCGTTAGGTTCAAGGTTATACTATACTTTCCTATTAAAACCTTAAAAACGGTTTCGATGGGGTATAGCAACACAATTTTACTATCACGCTATAATTATCTAGAAACTGAAGTTTTAATCGTCATGACATTGATAGTGGTCGTGGGTTATGGGCCACGATTCAGAGGCTTATCCAGAAACTGATAAATAGGAGAAGAATCGCCTACAAAAGGGAAGGAGCAGTATACGAATGTACAAATGGGGTAGCGTTACGATGAAACACAGCAAAAATGCACCCTTTTCTGGTTTACAGTCAAGAAGGGTACGCCTCCTTTAACTTTTGCAAAACATGCCACTGTTCTTGACATTTCCTGACAAAGAGAAAATGGCTTGGCCATTTTAGGGGGATCGAGCCGAACCACAATTTTCCTATCTGAGCTAGGGCCATTTATTTCAAGTCTCTGTATGAATGGCCATGGAAATAAACGAACTATGAGAGGGAGGGGGAGACAAATAGATAGGGGAATTTAGAGGGAGGCAGTGACAGAGAAAGAGAGAGAGAGGGGGGGTGGGGAGGGGTTAAGGGGGAGAGAAAGAGGAGAAAAAAGATACAGATAGGCAGACAGAGACAGGTTTTTTCTGGTGAAATGTCAGCATAGTAAGTTAAAAGGAGACGTACTGAAATGTGGAGCAGGACAATGAAGAAGATATAAGAAATACAAAGTCGATGATGCTAATAATTGAACACCTTAAATTATATTGTCAGACATTGCAAATTATGTGGTTTTGACTTCTAGCATGAAAATATTTCCTTTTTTAACATTGGAAATAGACACCGAGCTACATTGCGAGTAAAGAGATAGTCGAGTTCTGTTTTCAGACCGCAAATGCCTTCAAAGTGCGTGGTTATTGCTCTTAGTCTTATCTATGAAATTTCTAGTGCCCTTTTAGAACCTAAAATTGCTATGAAGGTAATTTTAGACCCCAAAATGTGTGAAATTTAGCCAATACGAGCATACCAATTCAGCTCCACTTTCAAAAAAACATGGCGACCGTTAATTAATTATTTAATTGAAAATAACAATACATGGGTTGTGCGTAATATAAGCAACACAAAAATGCCAACAAAACAGCCAACATCGGCATTGGCTGAAATACGGCGTAAAAGGCGTTATTTCGTTTTTTCAACGTTCTTTTTTTCCAAATTTGTCAAAATATCTAATATTTTTGGTGGTACACAAGTATTAGAAATCGTTATATCTTAGCCGTCTCTGAACCGATTTTGATCAAACAAAGATGATTTTGTCATTTGAATAATATGTTCTTTCAAATTTGACACTCAGTTTTTCATTATCTCAACAAAAAAATATTTTGTGCAGCGCCCTGTGCAACAGAACTCAACTATCCCTTTAACTATGCTTTAATTGTACCATTACATGATTTTATTTTATTTCAATATTCAATTTTTGTTCAATTTATAAAATATTTGTACAGAGAGATACCGTTTATTTTTTAATTGATTTTAATTTTTTTTTAAATAATTGTTGTAACGCCCATCATTGTTTAATTCTTAAAACAAAAAGGTGTTTCTACACGGCCCGGCAAACTGTAACCATGATAATGATATTATGTATCCTCAACCTGATATATAATCAGATGACATTCTAAATACAATTTGCTCTCCAGCAAAATGTTATTATTAAGACAACAGTTGATTATACGCAATTTATAAAGGTCTGTGTGAATTCAAGCCCGAATAGACTCCTAATCAAACAGTTTGATCTTCGTCGTGTTCGTTATCGTCCGCTTGGTCGCCGTCATCTCGCTCCTCGTCGGCACCCTCTTCATTGTTGGTATTCCTTTCTGGCACCAACGTATCCAGAGTAGCAATGAGTTGACCCCAACATCTTTCTTCTGCAACAGGATCCCACTCGAGATAAGCAACATGGTTTAGAAGTACCCTCAGGGTGCTGTTCACCAATTCGGGAGCGAGGACTTCCATCAGGATAATGATGAGACGTTGTCCTTCGTGTCCCGTTTCGTCTTCCAGCATCCTCGTCGAAGCCATCTCAAGCTCCAGCTTACACTGGCCATTCTGCATGAAGCGTTCATTGATGATGAATATGATGGCACGACTGACATCCTGAGCCGAAGACACATTCCTCAGAATGTTGGAACCCAGACGGAAGTTGCGGAAGGAGAGGCAGAGATCGAAGCCGTTTTCGTCTTCGAGACGAGGAAGCATCTCATCTTGGACGAATGACTTGTCGTCATCGTGATGACTGACGTAGGCGTCATAAACATATTCATGGTTGTTGTCTCCCACAGCTCCGTAATCGACATGGCGCTGAAAGGAAATCCCTAGGCGGTGATGATAGAAGTTTATCAACCTGAACTTCCAAACGACGAATGATACGATGGTGACGACGAACGCGACGAGGATGACAGTGACAGCAATTATTACCACATGCCACGGTGTTTCACTAGGAGGAAAAATGGATGGGCTAGGATCAGGCTTGATGGGTAGACAAGACTCACTGAAGAAGTCCTTGAGGGGCTTGCCATAGTTGTCACATTGATATGGCCCCTTTCCTGGAGGAGGACTTAGGGTGATAAAAGGGATGAAGTTAGGACTTCGTGTAGTTGTACTCGGCCCCGGCAGACTAACATACCAGCTTGCGAAAGAGCAAAGATCCTCTGTACATTTGAACGGATTTCCATCGAAATTCGCGACCATTAGATCTCGAGATGCTTTGAGGTTATCAACAGCGTCTGGTGATATTTTAGAAATAGCACAGTACCTCATTTGGAGTTTCTGCAGCTTAGTCGTACTTCTCAAGAACATCAAGTCCATTGGATTGACCAAAAGTGTATTGTGAGAGAGGTCCAACTTCATGAGAGATTTGAGGGTTTGAATCGCAGTCGGTACTTCAACTACGCGATTGTAACTAAGGTCTAATTCCTGTAGGGTATGTAACCCCGAGAAGGTTGTGTTAGGTAAATGTCGAATGTTACAACTCGATAAGCAAAGGCCTGTTAATTTCGCAAGACCATTAAACGCATCGGGTGATATATCAAGATAGTTTAGGTTATAGGTAATAGTCAATTCTTGGAGGTTGACTAATTCCGCAAACGCATTTGACGGGATGTTACGAAGACGTTGATTTACCAGATGCAGCTCCTTCAGAGAGGTTCTCAAGTGGAAAAGAACTTCACTTGGTATTTCATGAAGATTGTTCATTTCCAAATAAATGTATGATAACTCGTAAAGCCCCTCAAAAACAAATTGATCTACGAAAGAGACTTGGTAAGTACTTATCGAAAGCCTTTGTACGGCAGGAAAGACACTAAGTGTATCGTTGGCCAGTATCATCTTGCCGTCAAATGTATTCACATTAAGGAACTCTGTATGACTGGCGACACGACTTGGAACAGTATGGTTTAAGGCTTCGTGGAAGTTGACTCCGCTGCACCATATGTCGGGGGTGTCACAGTAGCAATAATCGCAGAAAGTCAGAGAAGTGCAACGTCCAACAAACATCAGGGAGCAGACCCAAACCCAAAGACGAACTTGCACCGAGATATTCATGATGAAAACCTAGATCGTCGGCAGCATCAACGAATTCTGCCGTGTAAAAAGAAAACGTAGGAATAGATAAAGGTTATATAAACAGAATGGCTTGGTTGATATCAAAACTACTTTACACCCTTCCGGACTGAATATACATACAATATACGGAAACATATTTAATTTAAATAGGAAATGTTTATTTCCTTACCGTGAAAGTTAATTAAAAAAGTAACGCGAACAGATCTGCAAGCCGCATAGCTGTAGCAGGAGCATGCATGGAGGTCGGTATTTAATGTTGATCACTTTGTAACTCTGCACATTTTATTAATGTGCAAACCATTGTAACTTCATTTTATAATTTACTCACCAGAAAGTATCATATGAAAATGAAAGCATTGTTTCAATAAGTCGTTAACGGTTTCAGATTAACTTTCGTTAACCTTGGAGTGTCCTGTTAACTGCTTACAGAATAGTACACACTTACAGGCCGATTAACGGGGAGGGGAACAGCGGGCCGCGCCCCCTTTCAAAAGCCAATCGATGCATACGCTAAAGAGGCACAAAATTGCATCTCATGTATATCGGGCTAAATATGAAATTTGTGATAAATGTTATATATCCCTGGGATCCTAGATCCACCCCTGCAAAAAAGAAACAATGTCGACCCCCTCTCCCCCTCCCACCCTCTCCCTGTCTCTCTCTCTCTCTTCTTCTCAATCAGTTTTATTCACGACCTCGCTCTCTACTCCTTCTCGGGCCCTAGTCCAGATGCGCCGGAAGCAGTTTGGGATTGGAGCGGGGGGGGGGGGGGGTGGCAAATATTCCAGGGGCTCACCTTTTAGGGGCAGTGGCGTAATGAGAATTTTTTTTTTTTTTTGGTGGGGGGGGGGGGGGGTAGACAACAAAAATCCCCATCATCCCACTCTTACATGCAGGCCCCGCTGATCGTTTCTCGGCGGGGGTCAAGGGGCGGAGCCCCCAGAAGCTCAGGGGTTTTGGGCAATAAATTACGGACAGATGAGCATATTTTGATACCTTATTTGTGATACTGGCACGTCACGACTTAGTGTGGGGTCCAGGGGGCGGAGCCCCGGAAGCCCAGGGGGTTTTGGGCAATAAATTACGGTCAGATGAATATATTTTTATACCTTATTTGTGACAATGGCAGGTCACACGTTGGTGTTGGGTCCGGGGGGCACACAGTGGGATATAGGGAGGAACCAAAGTGCGCCAAAACTCATGTTTGGGGAGAAAATGTTTGGATTTCCAAGGATTTTCGCTCAAATCTTATTACTATTACCAACATTTTCTCTGATGTCTAAGCTTTAAGTTGATACCAGATTTGGCTGCCTGATTTTGCCCGTTATTATGTTAGAGCCGTTTTTCTTGCAACATTGCCCCGAAAAATGTGTTTATTTTGGTCCGCGGTGTCAGAACTAGAGTACCTACATGTTGTATGTCCTTTATGTAGTTACTCTAGTCAGAACAAGTGTCACGCGCCCCCTCGCGCCGTGATTTATGACCACGAATCCTTCATGATTCAGCCGCGGACCCCAAAACCCCACATTTTTCGGGGCAATGTGGCAAGGGAAATCGGCTCTAACATAACAACGGGTAAGATCGGGCAGTCAAATTTGGTATCAACTTGAAGCTAAGACATCAGAAAATATGGTGGTATTAAAATTTAAGCGGTACACCGCGGAGATCTAAACATTTCTTCTGGATTTATAAAAAAAAACATGGATAATTAGTCCATTTTTCAGTGAATTACCCTATATTATATCATGAAGATTGTGTTTCTATTAATTTTAACCCATTCATGCAACGAAATGAACTATAAGGAATATGTGAGAGCAATTTCATATCAAGAACTTAAAAAACTTCATGTTTAACTGAAAGATTTATAAAATAAGTCACTTTTGCACTAAAACTGTGAATATGTAGGATTTTGCTGTTTGAAGTAGTAAATTTATACCCTTATTGTGCATACCGGAATTAAATATTTCACTGAGGTATTCCTCTATGTATTACCTTTCAACTGGGCAAGAACAAAATTGAAAAAATAAATCACCCAAACTTAGTTTTGGCGCACTTTGGTTCCTCCCAGGCCATTGTGGGGCGGAGCCCCCAGAAGCTCAGGGTTTTTTTTACATTAAATTACCGCCAGATGAGCATCCAGGGGCCCGCCTTAGGGCCATTGGTTGGGTTCGGAGGGGGGAGGGGCAGAGCCCCGGAAGCTCAGGGCTTTAGGCATTAAAGTACGTCAGATGAGCATAATTATACCTTATTTGGTAAACTGGCAGGTCACTAATTGGCGAAGGGTCCAGGGGCGGAGCCTCCAGAAGCTCAGGGGTTTTAGGCATTTTATAACGGTCAGACAAGCATGCAGGGCCCGCCTTAGGGCCCCTGGTGTGGTCGAGGGGGCGGAGTCCCGGAATCATAGGGGTTTTAGGCATTTAATTACGGTCAGATGAACATATTTTGATACCTTATTTTTGACACTGTCAGGACACTAATTGGCGTGAGGTCCAGGGGGCCGAGACCCATAAGCTCAGGGGTTTTAAGCATTACATTACCGTCAGATTAGCATCCAGCCTTCCGCCTTAGGGCCCTAGGTGGGGTCCAGGGGGCAGAGCCCCCAGGAGCTTAGGGGTTTTAGGCTTTAAATTACAGACAGGTGAGCATTTAAGTGCCTGACCTTTTTTGTTGTTGCTTTCTATAGCACAAAAAAATAAAATGTTTCCCTCTTTTTTCCTTCCCCCTTTTTTTCCCCTTCTTTTTTTTTGGCAGGGGGGGGGGGGCGGGCCCCCGGGTCCCCCCTGGATCTGCTACTGGGGCCTCTTGCCCGAAAATATACTATTCGGATCCCACATATTGCGAGCGAGAAAAGAGAGAGAGAGAAAGAGAGAGCACTTTTATTGAAGCATGCATGTTAATTAGACTTTAATGTACACAAGATTAAATGTAAAATTGAATATTCTGTCATCTCGTTGCCAGGAATCATTCCGATTTATTAATTTTGCGAGAAATGAAGCGAACGAGGTAAAATATTGAAAGAAAAGGGACACTCTGTTTTGGTATAAATTTAATTTCGATATAAAAATATAAGTAATGCCTTATTCATGTCGATATTCGGCCAAGGGATCGTCGCATCATCATATGGGGATATTCTTGGACCTCACTGCCTGAAACATACTCGTTTTTAAATTTTTGCGATCAGGCGAACCGAGCAAAAAGAAATACCCAAAGTAATATTTATTTGGGCATCTTCCGGTTTCTGACAGTGTGTTTCAAATGAAGTCGACGTTATTCCAAAACATATTTTCAATATAACTAAAATTCTCTCGCGGCACCGCGGTTAAAAAGTGCTGTACTAGATGGTCAATATTTGAGGGGTCAGATTCACCAGGCCAGAAGGGAGTTAGCCCATCCCCCTTTAGATTGGAATAATTCTGTATTTTAAAGTGAAATGGTCACTCCCTCTCTTCCTCCCACTCTCTCTCTCCCTCTCCCCTCTCTCTCTCTCTCTCTCTCTCTCTCTCTTCCTCTCATCTCTCTCTCTCTCTCTCTCAAAATTTGTTTCCTTCTCTGCTGTACACTACATCAAGGACACAGATCGGATCACTCCCAAAACTGTTTTCGATAATCCTGTAATGCAACTCTTACAACAATTCATTTAAGAGTTCCCATGCTATCCACATATTACTGATACACATACTAGTATAATTTTGTAGAGTATTTTCGGGCAGTCGGATACCCTATATTATCTCACGTTCTTTTTTCTTCATCTCTTCCCTCGCTCTCACCTCCTTTTTGTTTCCAATTCGACCGTGCCCCCCCTCCCCTCCCCCCCCCCTGCCATTGATTTATGCTCAACGGATGTGGTGTCTTTTCGTCTTTAAGGTTAATTTGGTTTAGTTTAAGGTTCTTTACCAGCACATCATGCGATTATCCAAGTGTTCATTTAAACATTTTCAAAAAACACCTTTAAACTTCACCTCGACCTCCAGATTTTTTTTCTTTTCATTCTTGTACAATACTGAGAGAACTTGCGCTTAATTGGTTTCATATGTTTTTTACAAATACGCGACGATGATTGTAGTTATATACCACATTTGTGACTTTCGAATTTCATTTTTTACTAAAATCATAAAAGAACTTACCCCCAATTATCGGTTTATTATTTCTTTTCCATATCTTACGACGAAGCACCTGAAATTAAATCTGAATCATTAACAGTATGGTATCGGTGATGTGATGTGAAACAGGTCTGAAATGTAGAGCAAACGTGACGATAAAGGAAGAGAATGCAAACATCCTCATACATGATGTAAGGATGATATAATCACGTCAGGCAAACTATCCGAGAGCCGTAGGCCTAACAAAATGGCGTATGCAAAACGTGACAAAAAGGTGTGGTGATGAGGATTCGATTGAACCCTCACCAGAACGGGGAAGGGCTGGAGGGGGCAGGGGCGCAGGACCGGACGTGGACTCACGCATGTATTGATGTTTATCACGGTTTTTAAGAGGGCACAATATATCAGCTCTTTACCATATTTGAAACATTTTTTATCTTGATAAGTTTTATTGGTTAGAAAACACAATGATTTACAAAATATGCGTTACATTTTTTTGCAGAAAAATAAATGAATAATCATAATGTTTTACAATTACAATCATGTTGTTTCACATTCCAATGTAACATAAACACAGCATGATAATTCTGTATACCCCGGCCGCACAGACGATACGACCATCAGACCGACATAAAATGGAAAGAGAGAGGCTAATAACTAAAGAACCTCTATAGCCTCCCCCTCCCCCGTCGGTCCGTAGTCGGCCCTGCGGCACCGCCGGGGGATAAAGCACGATATGTGCTGACCTCTTCTATTAGTACATCAAATACACCACAACATGAAAATATAATGTTGCAACAAAAACAAACACATCCATCTCTTGAAACGTTTTGCACATAAAATAACGTTTATCATTACGCAACGCAGAAATACTTGCCTATGTTTTGCCACTT